AGTTTTGTAGATCGTAGAGTATTTAAAGAAAAGGTTTGGAGCACTTTAACTAATTTATGATAAGAAAAATACTGAATGGTAATGATACCTAATTATAATGCTAATTTGTTATATGACATATTTGAAATTTACATTTAAATGAAAAAAATAAATAGTGAAAATAAATAATGATCATAACGCTAAATGAAAACTGGAATGATTTGAAGAAACATAAATTGAAAGCAGAACTATTCATGGCCACGTTTTGGAGTTTTAACACCAAGAGCCACTTGAGCAGCTGACATAACCGGAGCTCCAGGAACTGCGATGATTGAGTTTTCATCCCTGCATTTTATAGTGATTGGTCCAGCCCCTGAAAAGTATCAATTAAACGAATCACATTAAAATAGATACAGATTAAATGAATTTGAAAGTTTAAAATATAAACTCCATATTTTTATTATATTATAAGGTATTATGTATTATTATTGTGTTGGGTTATTTTATACATACCAGATGTATCAACTTCACCGATTACTATGACACGAACTCCTTTGCCAAAGGTTATACCGGTATAGTTGCTTATGTTCACACAGACCTTGGCATTTCCATCAGTAATGGCTCCGCAGCCACAAACTTCCTTTGTGTATTTGTTCTCAGTCTTCGCAAACTTGAACTTGATGTTGCCTTCGATGCCTGTTAAAAATTATTGAATTATTATATCGATTAAAAATGAAAAAATGACTAAATGTAAAAAATAAATACTCACGGACTAAGCCTTCACTTTTTCCTACATCTGCAAAAGTAACCTTTTGAATATTCATTTCCAAATTTGCTTGGTTTGGATTGTAATCACCAATATGCTCCAAAATGGTAACATCTTTAATCAGCAACTCAAAGGGAACCAACTTTTTGGATTCCTTGAAGAAATTTGATGCTACAGACTTCATAGTTGCTCCTTCGACATGAAAAATCTGAATCGAAAAATATAAAATGTTTAGTAATTACAATAATTGAAAAAGACAGAAATCAATTCCATAGTACGTTTACCTTTCCAATGGTAATAGAAGCAACATGTCGATCAATCAGGGCTTTGCCCCATACCAAGCATTGGATTCTACTGCCATTAGCGTTATTCAAAGTAAATTTGAATAAATCAAATTTCTCTCTCGATCCTACTACTGCAGGAGCATGAACTTCATCAACGTAAGCAACAATCTCACTGAAAAAAAACATTACCATTAATTAACTACCACTAATTGTAATAATTAAAAAAAATTCAGACCATCGCTTACGCCATTCTATCTGTATCCCTAAGTTCTTTGAAATGCTCATTGGTAGTGAAAGGTAAAAGCTCTTCGCCCTCTCCACCACTTTCATTGGGATTACCATTCATATCGTCCTGATCCTGGAGAATGTTAGCTACGGCAGCAAGTCCAGCGTTTGGATTACCTCCACCTTGCTGACCATTGACTCCAGCACAAAGTCCAACGTTTGGATTACCTCTACCTTGCTGACCATTAACTCAGGCACGAAGTCCAGCGTTAGGATTACCTCCGTCTTGCTGATAATCCATATTTTCCGTTCTCTAATACATGTACATAAAATTTGTAATTTATCTGAGAATAAAATCATTTAGTTTTTTTTCAATCTGATTGAATTCAAAATTTGTTTATCAAAATTTGTTTATAAAGTCATGTAAAAAATTAAATTTATACAATCACAACTTGAGTGCATTAAATAAACACATGTTCATCTTAAATATTTTATATCATCTTAAATATTTTTATACCAATAACTTTCAAGTGCAAAAATCAATATTTCTATAAATTGGTTTGTTTATTATGTAATATATATTATTTTTTTAAATAACGTGCGAATGCAATGCGATAACATAGTTTAGATTTTTGTTAACTAACGTGTGAATGTGCGAAAAATAGTTGAGATGAACATGTGTTTATTTAATGCAATCACGTTGTTGTGATTTTAATTTTTCACGTGATTTTTGCACTTGAAAGTTATTGGTATAAAAATATTTAAAATGAACATGTGTTTATTTAATGCACTCAAGTTGTGATTGTATAAATTTAATATTTTACGTGACTTTATAAACAAATTTTGAATTCAATCAGATTGGAAAAAACTAAAAAATGACACGCGGTCACCCTAACCTACCACAAAAAAGTTAAAAAAATAATTATATATTTAGTACAAAATTTTTGTTTTATACTCACTTTCAAGAGTCGCAATAACTTTTAAAATAAATATTTTAAAATTTTAAGCGACGATTACAATAGATTAAATCAGCTTAAACACCCGGAAGTAATTACTGCGTGCCAATGCATATGCATATACAGCCATCGACTGTTACTGCGCCAGACAATGCGCACATCAATTAATGCGCACATCAATTAACACATCACACTATAATATCCACTTCTGTGACAGGTGCTCACGTGACCATCTCTCAGCCAATCAAATCACGAATAAAATGACTTCACTCGCCAAGCCATCACTTTTCATATATAGAATTCAGTATTCAACTACTCAAAATCATTGCATTTTTCAACAAAAAAACAGAACAATTATTTTATATAAAACAAAACAAAACAATTATTTGAAGCAAAAATGCCTCACAAACTTGTAACAACTCTTGAAGAAGTTGTTACAAGTATACATTTTATGTTTCTCAGGAACCCAAAATTGAACCTAAAAATTAACTTATAGTAAAATAAGAGTTGAGCATTAAAACAGTTTATAGAAATACCATAAAAAAAAGAATATTTCATGTAATATAATTTCTTGTGGCTGATTGTACTGCTGTATTTATGGCGTGTCGGAATTCATTAAGGTACATATCTCAATTTCGGTGATCATTTTCTACATACGTCACTATCATGGTTTTTAATGTCCTATTACTTCTTTCGATTGGATATGGCTTGTGGATGATTTGGGACAGTCGTGTTATATTTTATACCATATTCTTGTAACATGCTATCTAAATGTTTGTTAACGTATTCCTTTCCGTTGTCGGTTAGTAGATAGTCAGGTGTTTACTATCTGAATATAATTAGTTCTTCCGAAATTCCCTGCCACAAGTGGCGCCCAACTTTTAAATCCGCGTATAGTTACCGATCAGAAATTTGCGAATTAATCTGACCACCCTATTACTACATATATATTGATAATTATATGTTTATTATATGTTATTAACATTTTAAAAAATAAGCATGTTTATGTAATTGATTGTTGAATCGGAAATAACTATTTAATAAGCTTATTTTCAGCAATTCTGACCATCAGTACAAGTACTGATACTTATTTTCAGCAATTCTGACCATCAGTACAAGTACTGATACTTATTTTCAGCAATTCTGACCATCAGTACAAGTACTGATACTTATTTTCAGCAATTCTGACCATCAGTACAAATACTGATAAACAGCATATTTTCTGACCATCAGTACAAATACTGATAAACAGCATATTTTCTGACCATCAGTACAAATACTGATAAACAGCATATTTTCTGACCATCAGTACAAATACTGATACATAGCATATTTTCTGACCATCAGTACAAGTTACTGATACCTAGTATTATTAGCATTTCTGACCATCAATATTAAATTGATAAACAGTTATTTTGGAGACAACCAGGATATTATTAGAAAAAAAATTACAATAGCACATAAAATCTGACCGATCTTACGTACCCGTGAAGGCCAATTCCGAAGCTCCAAAAACCTGGCCATAGACTTTGGACTCACAACGAATTGAACTCGACTGTGTCAGGTACTGACAGTTCAGACTTGAACAGTACGATTACGTTGCCACAGACTTTGACAGTTCAAAGTCTGACTTGAAACTATTTCAAGGAGCGACAGTTCAAGTTCGTTTGAGGTTCGCGTATAGCTTGGATTTGACACCAGACTCTGACAGTTCAGACTCTGGGAAGGTTTCGGATTTGGTCACTGCCGAGCGGATATTATAGGAAATTAACTTAAACCGATAGTAGATAAATTAAATTAATAAAAATGGTTGTGACTCATGATGACATACCAGCCAGAACAACAGTTAAACCGCCGCTATCAAACACTGACCTGCTATATATTTTAAAGAAAAATAAAACAGCCAGAGAGATAGCAAACAGAATAGCTGATAATACGGAAGAGGAAATTCGTAATGAATTGCGTCAAGGCGGATGGCGAATATCAAACGAAGAAAATACAGACCGACTAGAACTACTACGATGGGTAATTCGAGAACAGAGATTGTCAGCTAATCCGTCCATGACACGCAGTCAGAGAATAGACAGTTTTCCGCCGTTCGCTAGAATACTATGGAATGAAGAACATGAAACTGACTCTAACAAAACTGCCAACCAGCCCCCAAAATCAAATACGACAGATGCAATGTCAACAGCAGGCGAAGAATTAGAAACAGACGAGCGACCGACAACAGAGACGGATCAACTAATTGACCTACCAATCGACGTAGATACCATTCGTCGACAAGCAACGCCACCGAAACAATTCCATACAACCTCGCCAACATTGACATGGAATCAGATTAACGAAACGGAACCAAACAATACCAATAGACAAACAACCAGGATTAGAGAATTGGAAATAGCACAAATCACATCGGATGATGACTATTCCCGTGCTCAAGCACCACGTTCGCCGACATACACTAGACCTCGCAAAATGCGTACTAGACAGTCAAATTAGTCTGACAGCAACACTGACTCACCATCAGAGAGTGAAAGAAGAACACGTAGGCGTTCAAAACCACTACTCAAGGAACGAGTAACCTGGGGGGTAACCAGAGAAATACATGGTCCGTCAAATATTGACCAGAACAAATACAGATCAGACCTTGCCACAGTCAAACCGCCCAGGACAAAGCTTGCAACCACAGATGAACTTGTGAAAAAGGCTAGACCAAACAACACTGTAAAAACAAATTTAGATAAAAATCATAATTTTAATGTGAAACCTACAAAGGACCCTGTAAAAATGAACAGAGATCAACCAGTCCGACATAAGAAACAGTATTCAGAGGAAGAGGAATCTTCCGATGACAATCAACAACGAGATACATCACGACCAGACAGAATAAATGAGATACAAAAAATTAAAAGAATTGACAGAGTAAGGGAACGTCACAATAATTGTTCTCGCCGACCATCTAGTTCCTTCAGCTCATCAAAAGAAACTCATAGTGATAGAGATAACCACAGACATAGCAAACGATTAGGAAAAAGAAGACGAGTAAATAAATATTCAGATAGCGAAGACGATACATCCATTGATAATCGCTACAGTAGAGAGCCACAACGACCCGACCACTCTGACCGGAACCGATCAAAACATATCCACCGACACAGAAGGAACAAAGGATATTCATCGGAAAGCGAATCTGAGATTGAACAACGGAACAGACGCTCAAAACACCGAACAGATTATCGATCTCGATCAAGATCACGGTCACAATCCAAACGCAGAAATAAACATACAGGTTATCACTATTCTCGTGAACAATGGCGAGAACCGACTAGATATTACTCTGACACTGAAAGCTCGACCTCATCTTCGGAAACAGAATATGAATCGAGACACCGTTCAAACAGACTAAGGGAACATGCCTATGACACTGCCCGACGAGATCTCCGTAACATTAAGTTACTAGAAAGCCGTAAAATAAGATTTAATGGCACAGACGGCCCAGAAGAATTTATTAGTCAAATCGAAGACCAGAAAAGACGTGTTAGAATGTCAAGTGAGGACCTGCTGCAAGCAATAACGGCCGTGTTTTCCAAAGAAGTTAATTCGTGGTACCGAGGGATACCCAAGGAAATTTACTCATGGCGAGACCTGAAAAGAGCCCTACGAGGCCACTACGGCAGACGTATGACCGATGATGACATTGAAGAAGAACTCAGACGACGGACGCAAAATGAAGATGAATCGATAACAGATTACCTGAACGCCTTCCGATATATAGCCAGCCATTTTAAACGTCCTATTTCCTTGCGACAACAAATTAAAATCGCTAAACGAGGACTCCTTCCGACATACCGGAAATACATGTCTGATAGACGGATAGAATGATTCAGTGATTTGACATATTACGGCCAAAAATGAGAAGATTTGGAGGAAATGGATGAACAATACCATCCGCCTTCGACCAAGACACATTTCCCAGCAGCAGCACCAAAAACCAATAAGAGAATAGCAAAAACCTCAGCGGTACAGAAAATTGAAACAAAACCTGACAATACACGTGAAAACCCTCAAAATAATAATAGAAAAGACAAGACAAATAAAACAAAACAAAATAATATACAACAACAGACCAAGCAAGGAAATATATATGCTACACCCATGATGGCACAAATTGCAGCATACCAAGGACCTCACCAATACTTGGGCTTCCCACCAGTCAAACAAGAACGACCATGGACAAGCCAAGAAAAATCACAGACAGCAAATAACAATCAGACTAATGACAGAATAAATTACCGGAACCAACAGAGACAAAATTACAGCCAAGGTCAACAAATACCGACATCGAATGGAGTGGAAACAAGATGGAATCTGCCCTCACTGATACCATTCCAAAACAATCAAACAGATAATGATAATACAATGAATAATGATAATCAGACCGACAGACAAAATAGAGAACCATGCAAATGCTGCCAAGGTGATCATAACTACCGACAATGCCCAAAGAACCCTTGTTTCTTCTGTTACCAACCAGGTCATTATGCAGCATCCTGCCCAAAAAGAGAATCTTTATTCCCAAAAACAGGACCAAGAATAAGACAGACACATTGCCAAGTTTGTAAAAACATAGGCTCGCCTTTCGACTTTTGCAAATTTTGCCAGCATATTCGTTCTGAGTTGTTGGGAAACGCGCTAGGTGGGGAGCAGACGAGCCCACTGCTTCCTCCCGATTCCCAATAATGGGCCAACATGACCACATAGGGGAAATAACCATGAAAATGGCCTCCCATATAGAAATTGATACGGACTCAGAAGAAAATACTCGCCCAATATGGGAAATATCATCAGATGACAATAAAGGGATAAACAACCAGACATCAGAGGAGGATGAAAACTGCACCGACAGACATACCACTCCAATAAATGGACAAGAATTATCCTGGATTGATGAGGAACCACTCAATAAGTTGCTAAAACGCCTCAAGGATCAAGAGACGTTACTATTCGACATGGATGGGGAAATACAAAACAGTGAACAGTCGGTGGAAAACCTAACATTTCCACCAGATGAAAAGGTAATAGTAATGAACAACATTGACCATCAGATTCCAACAATAACAGACCAAATAATAGAACTCCCAGACAAAATAGATACTGTTACACCTGAAAAACAACCTGAAGGAATGCCTAAAGGAATAATAAAAACCGTGAAATTTCTAGACAAGGAAGAGATAATACAAACAATAGACAAAGAACTGACAATGCCCTCACAATCAGACCTACCAACAGCTAAGGAACCTGATAAAAGACAACAGAAAGCTTTAGATGAGACTAAAGACAAAAGCAAGACAGCGATATTCACCGAACCTCCACAATCGATAGGAGGGTTAAGCTCAGACAGTAGGTGTTTCATACCAATTATTATTGGTAATATAGCATATGACGCCTTAGTTGACTCAGGAGCAGAACTCTCACTGGTAGGACCGGAAATAACAGACAGATTCAAAGAAAGACTAACGCCTAGTTCCACTACAATCCAAGGAATCACGGGAAAAACCGAGAAAACCATAGGCGAACTTCCCCTACAGATTGATTTCGATGGACATACACAGAAATTTAGATTTAAGGCAATGAAAAACCTACCTGGACCGCCAATTATCTTAGGTCTAGATTTCCTGACACAGTGGAACATGCTCATACTTTTCCGAGAAAGGAAATGGAGAGTACATAATGGTAAATGGCATCATCTACAACCTAGACAACCGACACAACGAGAAGCTTTCTACGCAGAATGCGCTGGCCTCACAGAAATTACACCTGACCAAACTAAACGAATCAAAGAAATAACGGACCGTTTAATACCACCTATGACTGACAAACTAGGAAGAACACCGATAGTAAAGCACATAATAGATGTAGGTGATAGCCAACCAATAAGACAAGGTCTACGACGAATGTCACCCGCAATACAAAAAATAGTACGAACTGAAATAAGGAAAATGTACGAAATGGGCATTATCCGACCGTCCAAAAGTGCATGGCGTAGTGCCCTAGTAATGATAAGGAAAACTGACGGTTCCTGGAGATTCTGCATTGACTTTCGCGACTTGAATAAGGTTACAAGGAAAGACGCATATCCACTGCCTAACATGGATTCAATATTAGACAAATTACGACACGCCAAATATATTAGCAAAATTGACCTTAAACAGGCCTACTTCCAAGTAGCCCTAGATGAAAACAGCTGCGAATATACAGCTTTTGCAAGCCCAGGTGAAGGATTGTGGGAATTCATAGTTATGCCATTCGGACTCGTCAATGCCCCAGCGACCTTTCAACGATTAGCTGACGCATTATTTGGACCTGACTGGGAACCTCAAGTATTTCCATACCTTGATGACATTATTATAGCAACCGAGACCTTCGATGAACATACCAAATATTTAGAATTAGTACTACGCCGAATTAATGAAGCTGGACTGCAGATAAATGCGAAAAAATGCGAATTCGGCTGTACTCGTTTGAATTACTTAGGTTTTCTGCTAGACCAAGAAGGACTACGACCTGACCCAGACCGGACTAAAACAGTACTAGAATTTCCAGTACCCAAAACGGTAAAACAACTACGTAGCTTCCTGGGAATGGTCGAATGGTACTCGAGATTCATAAAAAATTGTCCGGAAATAAAGGTGCCGTTACAAAAACTTCTAAAGAAGCATCAAGTATTCAACTGGGAAACTGACCAACAAGAAGCATTTGACAAGTTGAAACGAGCATTAACAGAAGCTCCAGTATTAGCAAGACCAGACTTCGCCCGACCATTCACGGTTCAGACAGATGCAAGCGATTTTGCAATTGGTGCCGTATTGACTCAAAACTTCGATGATGGCGAACATCCAATAGCGTATATTAGCAGAACACTGACCGGACCAGAAAGAAATTACTCAGTAACGGAGAAAGAGTTATTATCAATAGTATATGCTATCAAGAAACTAAGACCGTACCTTGAAGGATATGACTATACAGTTATTACTGACCACTCAGCACTAATATACCTATTCAATATAAAAGAACCAAAAGGTAGATTAGGAAGATGGATATGCGACCTGATGCAAGAACGCGTGACCTTTAAACATCGTAAAGGCACGATGCATAAAGTACCTGATGCCCTGTCACGAATGGACGAAGAGGCTAACAAAATCGCAGCCTTCAGCACAGTACAAGACAACTGGTACCTGAAAAAACGCAGAGACGTAAAAGAAAAACCAGACAAATACCCTGACTGGAAAATCGAAGATGACATGCTATATTATAACAGACCAGACCCGATTATGGACCCGTTAACAAATGGAGAAACGGAATGAAAACTGGTTGTACCTGACGAATACCAAATGGAAATCATGAAAAACGCACACTGCCTTCCGGTAGCAGGACATTTGGGCATAGAGAAAACGTATACGAGAATTAGTACCAAATATTACTGGCGAGGAATGTACACTGACACTTACAACTTCGTCACAAGATGTCCGCTATGTCAAAAATATAAATCCAGCCAACTAGGCCAACAAGGCCTCATGAAACCACGGAAAATAGACCGACCATGGGCAATAGTAGCAATTGACACAATGGAATTTCCCCGAAGCAAAACGCAAAATAAATACCTCTTAGTTTTCCAAGACCTCTTCACACGTTGGGTAGAAATGAAACCAGTACGCTCCGCAGACGGGAAAAACGTTGCGAAAGCATTAGAAGAACTCGTCATATTCAGATGGGAAACACCTGACTACATACTGACCGACAATGGGAAAGAATACGTCAATAAACACTTAGACGGCATGTTACAGGAATACGGTATCAGACACAACACAACAGTCCCATATCATCCACAAGCTAACCCCGTCGAAAGAAGTAATAGAACGGTAAAAACTATGATAGCAATGTTCGTTGAAAATGACCACAGGAATTGGGATAAACATATTAATGAGTTCCGACACGCCATGAACACGGTAATACAATCAGCTACTCAAACATCCCCAGCATTCCTGAATTACGGCAGACAACCGAAACTGATAAAAAGTTTACGAAGAAAAGTAGAATCAAACGAACTAGAACTGACACTAGAACCAGAAGAATGGACAGAAAGGCTTAAAAGATTAAAAGACCTATATGAACTAGTTGAAAGGAACCTAGAGATAAAGCATAAAAAAATGGCTGACCGATTTAATACTGGAAGAAAGTTGACCGAATATAAAACCGGAGACCTAGTATTGATCAAAACACATCACCTATCCAATGCAGCAAATAAGTTTTCGACCAAATTAAGCGAAAAATATGAAGGACCTTTCAAATTGCTAGATAAACTCTCAGACACAGTATTTACCATCGAGACACTGACAAAGAAAAAAGTTGGTAAAGTTCATATTGAACAACTGAAACCTTTCAAGAACCCGGACAAAAATAATTATGACCTTAGATAAAACTAAAATGAAGAGAACATAGATAATCTGACCGATCTGACCATACCCTGTATTGTCCGACTTATGGGTTTAACTCGCGTACTAACACGGTTGTGGCGTGGGGAATGATTCCGCGGCAATTGGTGTTTGACCTCTAGATGTGCTGTCCCACGCCTGGACAGGCTAGCCTCTCCAGGCTTAGTGGGGGGTGTAGTCGTCGACTAAGCTACGCCCCTCAGCAGATAAGTGCATGCACTGTACTGTCCCGATACTGCCCTACAGACCGTTGCACTAACCTGTTTAATTTTCAGATCTACCATGGCCCCAAGGATCCTCATAGCAAAGAAGAAGGGCCTGAGTCTTACCCTTGAAGATCCCGCTGTCCGCCGTCCCCAGGACCATCACGGGGACCAGGAAGCGGGAAGC